GAGAGAGAGAGAGAGAGAGAGAGAGAGAGAGAGAGAGAGAGAGAGATTGGCAAGCGATGCATGAAGAATCGCGCCCGGGAGAGCAGCAGAGATGCCACTTAAAGAGCCACGGACCGTTTTTAATGATTCCACTCCAGCGAGGCTTCCACACAAGGCGGTCTGAGTCTCTTCACAGTTCACTTAACACACGGGGAGTGCGTGCGCGTTCGTGCGCGTAGGATGCACGAGTGTGCGTGCATGCACTGTGTAGGCCTGCGCCTGTTTGTCTTTCAGTTCACGTGACTCGGCTGTGTGCAAATGTGCGCACACATGAACATGTGTAAGTGTCATGGTGAGGCGTTTTGAGAGAGAGCGAGTCAGTGTGCGTGTGTGTGTGTGTGTGTGTGTGTGTGTGTCCGTGTGCGCCTCAGGCGGCTGAACAGATCTGACTGTTTAAAAGCTCATTGTGTTGCCTGTTTAAACAGCAATGAATGAACGCCTGTCTTCATCACTTGAGACAATTCAAGTGAAAGGATGACAAGACTGCAGGGACGAATAAATGCATGTAACCTCTCTAATTGTTTATTTGATATGTTTATTTACTGATTTCTGCAGTTTTTCTCTTTCTCTCCGAGCATTCAGACCAATATTCATTAATCAAGGAGAGTCAATGAGAGGTGGCTCAGTGTGTGTGTGCATGTGTGTGCATGAACATGCACACACATGCTAGTGTACAAAAAACAAACATTCCTTCAGTCATTTCTTTCGAGTGGACAGTGATGCTTAGTTAAACTGTGAAGCGGTTATTATTTTAGGTAACTGTCTGAACTGTATGTTGGTGTCAATCGGCTTCAATGTTTAAGTGCCTTAACTGACTGATTTACTGACCCACTATCAGGCTGTAAGTGACTTAAAGATGGAGCGAGTGATAAGCTGACTGACAGGGCGGCCGGCTGTGTAGCTGATGGGATTGGTGGTTGTCAGACAGACTACAAAATAAACAGAGGACGAAACAGAAGAATTAAAGCGATCGAAAACAAACAGAGAGAGAGAGAGAGGGAGAAAACAGAGAGAGAGAGAGAGAGAGGGAGAGAGAGCGAGAGAGAGAGAGAGAGAGAGGGAGAGAGAGACGAGCGAGAGGGAAGAAAAAGGATTACTGTATATAATTAAATAATTGCATGAACAGATCAACAGAGAGAGCAGTGACAGGTCCTATCATCCTTCTCACTTGCTCTGCCAGTGTGTGTGTGTGTGTGTGTGTGTGTGTGTGTGTGTCCGAGGCCCTTGCAGCCTGCGTTATCTCACAAGGAGACTCATTAACATAGAAATGACTTCAGGAAGAGAAGTACAGCGTTTCACCTCTGGTGAGAGACAGGAGAGAGGGAGGGAGGGAGGGAAGCTCGAGGAAGGAGGGAGGAGGAGTGACAACACAGGAGGAGAGGAGGGAGGAAGAAGAGAGGAAGGAAGAGGTGAGAGAGACTGTGGGAGGAAGAAATGTAGGTGGTTGGGGGCAAAGTATACTTTTGTTAAGGTTTGGAAAAGATGGGGGTTTCAGTTACATGTTAAAAGAGCAAAAACATTGTCTCTATAGTGTGCATTATCTAAACATCCAACATCTTTCCCTGACATTAAAGTTATATTAGTAATAATAATATTAATAAAACAATTAATAATAATGATGGAAATATAAAATCAAACAAAACCCTATCTTTTATTCTATTTATGACATTTTTTTGCAATAGCCCCTCAGTGTCATTCGGTAATATCCTTTCTATAAAGCAGCTTTCAGTGTTGGTGGCGGAGTCCGCCATACCTGCACTGGGTTCAGAACGCCTTCCTAATCCTACCTTTAATCCATCATAATTTCGTCTCATTGATATAAGCCTCACTGTTCATTAAAAAAAAGCACACTGCACATTTCCTGCTGCTGCTGCTTCATGTTAAAAGTGTTCAATTGCTGAAAAAGATGCTGGCGTTTATTGTGAAGACGCCATTGAGGAAACCCGATGCATTTGTCACCACAGTTAGCACTGACTGCCATCATTCATCAGAGAAGAATATTTTAGATTACAAAACATAATGTAATACAGATACAATGAATGTATACAGAAATATGTTCCTTCTTCTGTTTTTGCGTCTGAAAAGAAGAAGTAGTGTATTTGACAAGAAGTAGACTGCTGCCAAGACTTTCTGAAAGATACAGTATCAAAAGCATTATCATGGGAAATGCAGTTTAAAAATCACTGATGTGTTTCTCTGTCTTTGTCTCACTTTCGTCTTCTCTCAGTTATCGGCTGTACAACCGGAGGACGAGGAGAGGAAGACTGGGGTTGGTTCTTGAAGAGAGGAGGAAGAGGAGGAGGAGGACTGCAGGGTTTCTGCTCAGTGAGCTGGAACCTTCTCATGCCTCTGGCCAGTGCTCAGAGACTGGGAGGAAGAGGAGGGGGAGGAAGAGGAGGGCAGGCAAGACAAGAGGAAGAAATCAAAGGAAACGGAAAACCACAGAGAAATTAGAGAGGGAACGATAAACTGTTTGGAGGAAGAGAGATGAGGAGGAGGTGCAACACAAATATACTGCAAAGTGAGTGAGCTGTGTACATTCAGGTGTGTGTGTGTGTGTGGGTGGGTGGGGGGGGGGGGGGGGGGGGGCATAGGACACATACAGTACAGAGACACATGTTTTTAGCATCAAAGAGTTAGTTTCAATGAAATATCACAAAGCAGTTTTTTTGCTGTGACTGACCAGTTTATGAGTTTTCAGTATGTATTTGTGAGGATCACAGTGTGTGTGTGTCTGTATCTGTGTCTGTATCTGTGTTTTGTTGTGTTTTACCAGATGGGAAAGGCTCCAGGGCAGAGAGAGGACATATGGTGATGTGGCATGATTCTGGCGTGACGCTAATATGTCAAAACTGTGATTTATGACTTAGAAGTCACAGACACAGCCCCGGGAAACTCTCCACCAAAGAGTGTTTGTGTAGATTGAAAGTGAGACGTGTGTATTGACTCGTTTGGGAGCAGAAAAGAAAAAGATTACTGGCCAGATTTAAATTCCAAAGATTACAATTGTATCTGTATGTTTGTTGAAAGTTAAAAGCTTGTGTAGTACATAATGATGTGTGTTTGTGTCGGACACTTTGAGGAAGACGCAAGGTCAGTGATCATGTGGAAGCGCTTCTAATGTGCGTGCATAATGAAAATGTGTGTAAGGGTGTTTGCATGCGTCTGTGTGTGTATGCGTCTGTGTGTGTGTGTGTGTGTGGGTGCGTGTTGGACACTGATTAAGCGAAGGACTGACAGTTCGATTGATTGATTGCGGGAGAGAGGAAGTGGAGAGTGAATGAAGGGGAGACAGTGAAAGAGATGTATCTTAATTGGGAAGGCGCATGTCTCATGGTGTGAAAGTGTGTCTAATATGTTTGCCTAATGAAAATGTGTGTAGGGCTGCATGAGAGAGAGAGAGAGAGAGAGAGAGAGAGAGAGAGAAAGTGCGCGAGAAAGAAAGATAGTGTGAAATAAATCCAATAAGCTCCTCCGTCATGCTCCCCTCTTGAGCATTTTTAAGATCCACTGAATGAAATAAATAAGAGATTCTTTTGCTTTTGTTAGTTTCCCCTTTTCATCTCTCTCTCTCTCTCTCTCTCTCTCTCTCTCTCTCTCTCCAATGTGCTGCAGTGCCCCGCTGTCGTTCACTTCAGCCTCCATCTTTTCCCTTCATCCTTTTCATTGCATCAGCAACAGCAGCTAGCTTCTTTGCTAACTAGCTTGCCACAGTGTCAGTGCAGAGACCCTTTGAGAATCACAAGCATTGATAACACATCTAATTGATTGCTGAACCCCAACCCCCAAACAGAAACTATCCAATCATAGCTTAGAAACCACAACTATGCATGGAAAGGCCCGTAGAGCTCTAGAAGCTTGTGAAGCGTTAGCCGTAGTGAGAGCGATGCTCTGTCCATAAAGAGTTTTTGAGGGTGGTGTCTTTTTTCGTCAGCCTTTCGAAAACCAAAATACCTAAAAGCAATGTCTTTATATGCTCTCATAAGTTCGTCTCAGTATTTTATTTTATGCAGTAGTAATCTAGTATTAATGTTAAGGCCAAAGAGATGTTTGAGCTACATTATTTTGTCCAGATAAAAGTCACATAAAAACTGTTTAGGGTCAGCTAATGTTGGTAGCTCTGTTCTGCTCCTCATTGGTTTGGGGAAGTTTACACTCCAGCAACCTAAGCCAAAGTTAGCATTTTCTCACAGCCGGTTCCCTCGTCTCGAAGTCGATGTTCTTTTC